AAAGTTACTTTTAAAAAGACATGGGGCCAGCCGGGGTCATGGTTAAGGCAGCTGGGTCCATATGGCCAGTTATGTAGTTCAAGTACCAGCCTGTTAGCTTGAAAAACATGCTGGGTACATATGTGTGCCTCCCCAAAATCCTGAAAAGAGAATGGAGAAGGGACTGCAGCATGACTGTCCCCCATGAGGGGATGCTTGCTCTCCTCTCTCTCTCTCTCTCTCTCTCTCTCTCTCTCTCTCAATGAACAGATGCTCCCTCTAGCAAATTAAAAAAAGAAAAAAAAAGGTATGAACAGCTTTCTAAAAATACAGACAACATACTGGAAAATATTGGCCTGAGGTACAAAGGAACAATGGTTTTCTAGAGCACCCATTTTAAATCTCTGTTACAATAATTAGTTTAACCAATTAATACATTATAATAGCTCAGTAAGTATTTACTAAAACCTTACTATATTGGACCCCATGAAGAAATACTCTTTGTCTGAAGGACTTTAAAGTTAATATAATTTACAGTTTAATGTATGGGTATGTATAAAATATTTATGAACAAAGACAGAAAAACATACATAAATACTAACAGCAAAAAATCATGAGATTAAAAGCCTAATTCCAAAATGGAAATCTGCAGTTCCAAGTAATATACATGAGAGGCAAGCGGGAAGCAGTCAACTAACCATACCAACAAAGTTTCTAATCTTAATGTCTTAAAAGTTCATGATTAAAAACAAAATTAAAGGAGAAAGCAAATTTTGAGAAAGGAGAAAAATGATTAGTTCTACCTTGATACTTGATAAGTAACATATGGTTTTGGATCTTACAGGTTAGTATATTTATACTTACCACAAACCAGATCTGGAATCAGATAAGCCAGACTGAATATCCCTGGACCAGTCATCAAATTGTTCTTGTTCGTACAGTTTAAACTGATCTGAGAGATCTTCAGCACTTCGATGAAAAGACCGAAATCCTGACAAGTCAGATAAAAGAGCTTCTGCAATCTTGATTGTATCATCTACCTTAAAAAGTCAAATTATAAGAATATCATTATTTCATTTCTAATAAAATGAACATAAAATGGAAAATCCCTTTCTCTGATCTGTGATTCAGAAATTATTTTCCCTTTCATCTTTAAAGTTAAACAAAACATTTGCCAGAAAAAGTAAGATTAGTCCCTCTTTTGCTTCTGAATTACACAATTTCAGAATAGCACAACACAAGATGATAATCCATAGACGGCTTGACTGGAAGGGTAAAACAAGGCATCAGATCTCAACATTTAAGTCCCACAGATTTTCAAAGGAAACCCTCAGAACTTCAGCAATACTCTTACATATAATCAGTCATTTTGGCCCTTCCCTAACTGCTCTGGTTAATACCTCAAACAATAACTAAGCCATTTTTAAAGTCAATTACAAGAAACAAGTGCCTTTCCTCCACGGCTCTGCAAAGAATATTACAGCACCCAGAAAGATGGCTGGCAGAATCAGAAGAATAATCAGAAAATAAAACATCAAAAATATGAACTTCAATAAGTAGAAATGTCAAATAGGCTAATTTATTAATACCATAAATCCTTTTGCTCTTAATCACAGACCATAAAGAGTTAAAGTTTAATGATTAAATTAAATGCAATCACATACTAATTAGTAAATCTACAAAAGTCTTAGGTCATTTTAAAATTTTTAAGTCCGTACATTACTGTCACTGCCTTGGACAATGCCGTAATTACCTTTCACCTTCCCTTTAATTTCTTTTCAACCTAAAGTGATTTAGTTACATAAGCATACTTACTGACAGACTTTACAACAACTAAAAGATTACAATTATATTTTTTTTAATGCAGTGTAAAAGAAGCTTAGTTCTTGAATAGATTTTTAAAGACACTTGCCTGGAAAATCTACAATTTAGAAAGTTAAATGATTTGATGATTACCACTATACGAAGAATGAATTAGGGCCATTAGAACTTCTTCAGATTACCTTTTCAGGTTTCTATATTTTATGTGAAAATTAAATGGATATGTTAAGAAAATCAAAAAATATTTTCACTACAGTTCTAAAATGCCTTCATCATTTCTTAATTTAGTATGACTTGTAACTAATAATCTTCTATTTCTATTAAAACAAATACCTTCAATTCCAACTGGCGAACCCAAACTATATTATTGACAACTTCTGAAAGATTTTTGCCAGAAAGTGGCCCAGATGCATCACCAGGAATTCCTCGGCACCGATTTTCAAAGTCTGATCGAAAATCTATATAATTTAAATCAAAAGATCGATTTAGCAAAGATTTCCTAAATGCCTTTCACATACACATGCTATGTCAAATGTTGTGGACATGAGACTTGGTCCTTACCTTCAATAACTCACTTAAGAGACAGAGAGAAAACAACTTGTTAATTCAAAGAAAGAATCTATTATTTATAACAGAAAAATTTTCAGCAAAATTCAGAATCTGTAGTTTTATTCTTAAATAGTATTCAACAAAGAAAAATGTAATCTGCAAAAATATTTTCTCAAACACTGTAATCCCTGATAAACTTTTACCTTTTACTGAGTCCGTAAGTCTTGCCAGTAAAGTTTCTCTTTCTAACATCAATTCTTTACTTATAGTTGGGCGCTTCACCAACTCTTTATATTTCAGAAATGCTTGAAGAAGCTAATATAAAATAAATAGGTATATGTTCATCTCAATGGGCCAACTTGGGAAATATATATATATACATATATCTCCTAAAATAACTTAAAAGAAATACTAAAATTGATATAGTTCAATATTTTACCTGCTGTGGACTATCTTCAATTTCTGAAATATAATTTTTCAATTTTCCTGCTATTTTTTGTTCTGCAGGTGCAATAATTTTTTCATATTGAGATACAGCAGCTTTCCACAAAGGCTAAAAACATAAATAATAATTTAAGACTTTAGTAATTTAAAATCTGCCATAATAAAGAATAACACAAATAGAAAATTATATAGATTTAAATATATATATGTTAAACCTCTGTATATGGATTATACTGCACAGGATTCAGGCCAGTAAATGGTTCAAAGACACGAGCCAGGCATATGAGTTTCTCTTCACTGGCAGGTAAAAAATATAGAAGCTTCTCATGAATTGTTCTAACAGCCAAGACCTGAAACATAAAATATTAAAACAACAAAATTTACATAAATAAGAAGCTGCATAAATAGTCTTAAAACATAAAGATATCAGGGGCCGGCAAGTGGCATGGTGGTTAAGGGTGTTGGACTCCCACATGGCCGACCACAGTTCAAGTCTCAGACCTGGTGGCTTGCTTTCTCACTTCCTCTCTCGCTCTGATCAAACTGGAAAATAATAATAATAATAATAATAATAATAATAAATAAAGTTAAATAAAATTCTTTAAAAAAACATAAAGATATCAAATAAGAATTTCCTTTAACTATTTTCGCTGAAGGAATAATAAAACTCAAATTATATTCTGAGAATTATTACTCATTAATAATCATATTGATACTGAAAGACATAATGCATTATCACACTAATATCAACCATTGTGCTCAAATCTAGTGAAAATATATATCTAAATTTCCTCAAATTATGTTTAAAGCTCATTTAAATAAATTTTTAGTCTGCTCTTTCTATACTAAAAATTTCTGATTTTCATTATTCTGCATTAAAGTACTTCTAATAATGAAATGACATATTAACCACCCTAGTATCTATAATTTACAAATAGCTAGAAAACAAATATTGCATTTTGAACTTAAAATTTCTATCTACAAGCAAGAGGTAATCAAGGGGCCAGCAGGTGGCGTGGTAGTTAAGGGTGCGGGACCATGGCTGATGGCGGTTTAAGTCCTGGACCTGGCGGCTTGCTTTCTCTCTCTCTCTCACTCTCATTTTCACTTTGTCCCTCTTTGGTCAAATAAAATAAATAAAGTTATATAAGATAACTCTTTTAAAAAAGAGAGAGAGAGAGGTAATCAAAGGTTAAGCAGGACCCAGATGTGGTACACAGGCAATGCAGTTATCATTACATGAGAAGGGTCTTGGATTTGTGTCCCAGGACCTCCCTAAGCACACCAAGTGCACACATAAATGCCTGGATCTGGGCCAGCTGAGACACACAGGGTGTGGGTCATTGTGTAAAGACAACTGGAGTTACATGTCTCTCTGTCTTTGTCTCTCTCTCTTATGAAAAATAAATAAATTTCTTTAAAAACATTTAAAAGTTGACTGAAAACACTGTAACATTTCATTGTGTTGCAAATAGCAGTATTGGGGCCAGCAGATGTTGTAGAAGTTACATCACTTGACTCCCACACAGCCAATCACAGTTCAAGTCCCAGGGGCGGTGGCTAGAAACTCACACTGGGTGCATGTGCGTACATGCGCAAAATCCCCGGAGAGTGGTGGAGAAGGGACTGCAGTGTGGCCATCCCTGTAGGGGTGATTTCTCACCTTCTCTCTCACTGTCTCTCTCTCTTCAAAGATTTGCACATGTCCTAAGGCAAAAACCTCTTAAAAAAAAAAAAAAAGAAAGAAAGAAAGAAAATATATATCAGTAACAATAAATAATTTAATTTTTTTTGTCAAAACAAAAACTACATATTTAATAATTCTGTCTCAGGACAAGGCTTAAAAGCACTGATAACTTTGATAACTAATTAAAAGTGCTTCCCCTAACCAAATTGTTGTAAAATACCACTTTTCATCACCAATAAAAAAAAAAAAAAAAAAAAAAACAGGTCCTATGGGAAAATGGCTAATTCCAGGTTCACAATAAAAAAATGCACAAGATAGGCTGGGCTGGAACAATTTAGGGGACCTTAAAAATTATCAAGGAAATATTGGAGTCATGTCAAAATGACACCAAGGTCCACTTAGAGGTACTCACTGTCCAAAGGAATAATTTGTATATAATAGGCTAAAACATGTACAATATGAAACAACGTAAGTTCACAGTGACACTAACAAAAAACATCTATCTCATTGGTCACCTACGGAACTTACTATGACACTAAACTATTGTTAATTGTTCTAAAATGTGACAAATGGAAAGAAAGAAGCAATTGTCTACACTGTCATACCTATGCAAACTAAATTTCAGGATAACTAATAAGTTCAGGAGGAACATACATCCATATAGAAAAATCACTAATAAATTAAGAAAGAACAATAAAATAATAAAATTTTGCTATTTTGCAACCCTTTATGGTCATCAGTAGATGCTAAAATCATTATGAAAAAAATTATAGAGAATTACAATGGATGGATCAAGTTGATCAGACCTGAAGCCACAGATCAAACTTAACATCACTAAAAGTATAAAAACCAGATACTACATAGCTCCTGATATAATGTATAAAGTTATACAGCACCACTTATAAAGTCTTCTTAAAATAAAAAACAACTTAAGACTGTATAGCTAACTACTACTTAACAACAAAAATCATAGACTGAATCTTGCTAAACATTAGGATATATATAAAAAGACAAATCCTGAAGGTATAAAGTGCTACATGGCATGAAAAAGTAGAAAGAAACTTTTTATATTAAAACAGACTTATGAAGACATATCAACCAATTGTAATGTATAGATCCTATTTGAAATCTGATTCAAGTAAACCAACTATAGAACTTTTTTGAAAAAATTGAGACAAATGAATATTGGCTACATATAAAATTATATTAACAAATTATTGTCAGTTTATTGGGTGTGACAATGGTATTATGGTTATGATTCAAGAATGAAAGCTTTGAGCCAGCCAGGTAGCATAGTGGTTAACGTAGTGGGATCCTACATGGTCAAAAGCATCATTTGAGTCTGGGACCTGGCACGTGTACATGCATGTGTGCCCAAAATCTTGAGAGGAGAGTGGAGGAGAACAGATTACAGCATCATCATCCCCCAGAGGGTGCTTTCTCACTTTCTCTCTCTCCTTGTCTCTCCAGCCAGCACACATGCCCTATACCAAACTAAAATATGAGTAAAAGCTTCAAAAATACTCCAGCCAAATAAAAATAAAGGAGACAAAAATGAGAAAAGAACTGAATGTCAATGATTGTTGAAACTGAGTGACAGATAAATGGACATTCACTATACTATTTTACTTTTCTGTATGTTTTGAAATATGCCATAACAAAAAAAAAATTATTAAAAAGGGGGGAAGGAGGCCAGCAGGTGACATTTTGGCTAAGACACTAGATCCCGCATGGCCAACAGCACTATTAGAGTTCTGGACCCAGCAGCTTGAGAATTACATTAGGCACATGCATGTAAGCCTAAAATCCTGAGAGGAGAATGGAAGAGAAGGGATTGCGACATGGCCAACCCCCCCTGAAAAGGGGTGGTTTTCACTTTTCTTCTCTGTCATTCTCTGGTGAGTGCACAAGCCCTAAATAATAAAAAGAAAGGAAAAAAAATGAACAAAGAACTCCCCTAGGCAAGAGAGTAATCAGCTTTATAGGGAACCAGCAGTTAGCGTAATGGCTATGTCACTGGACTCCCACGTAGTCGACCGCGGTTCATGTCTTGGACCCAGTAGCTTAAAACTCACGCCAGGCGCATGTGCGTGCGTGCCCAAGATCCCGAGGAGAATGGAGGAGAAGGGATTGCAGCATGACCATCCCCCCTGGGGGGGATTTCTCGCTTTCTGTCTCTCTGTCTCTGTCTGTCTGGTGAGTGCATGCGCCCTATAGCAAAAACCTCTCCAAAAAAAAAAAAAAAACAAATCAGCTTTATAATCTCCAGTTAATCTCATTCTGATAGCCCGTTCAAGTAAAATATTTAAGTGCTATACCAAAACTTTTTAACTTACATGAATTGAACAGCTATTTCAAATATTTCTACTGAGCATCCACGAAAAACCTGTCCATCCTTAAAAACAATTTCAAGAGCCAAAAGAATGTCTGAGAACGTCCATACACAGACAAGTGGGTGGATTATCTTTTTTATAACAAAGAACAAAACAGAAGTTGACAACTATCAACTTGACTAGTCATTAACCGAAGAAAAAGAAAGGAGGAGGAAACCAGTACCTAGGTGTCCGCCATGCAGCTGGAACCACACTAAATGACTGTCATAAATAATTTCACATGAACTTTAACTCCTAGTGTCTCCCAAAACTATCAATAATTTCTATCAGATGTAGAGTACTTGGTAAGCATAAAATACATTCATAAACAAGGGAAAAACTACACTTAAAGACAAAGATAGAGATCATCCAACTGATACCTCTTCAAGGCGTTTGCCGAGTTTATCAAGTGTTTCTGGGAAATATTTTTCGTTTTTCCATGGATGAGGAACATAGCGCTGCCACACTTGCCCTGTTAGATGATTACAGATTATCACCCACTGTTCACATATTGAAATACCAGCTTTCAAATTTTCTTTCACAAGGTAGTAAGGATCTTCCCATAGGTTCAAAGTTCCCAACTTCTTCTGAACAAATCTTCCAAATGAACCACCTAATAAAACATGAAGCAAAGATTTTAATAGAAATTCATGTATTTTTACAGAATAAGTATAAAATACATGCTTATGACAAAATTAAGATAACATACTAAGGATCTATGAAATGCCACATGTACACCCTTCGACTAGCACTGTCAATAACAATTATTTTGTTAAAGTACATGTACACATTAGTTTGCATTTTTGCATTTTTCAATAATTATATATACCTTTCAAGTGTAGAAACATATAGACAAGTTTTTCAGTGCTACAGGCATAATGTATAAATGTAGCATTATGAAAACAATTCCCAATTGCTATTTGTTTCTACTCAGGTTATCAACATGCTACTATAACTACCCTTCTATATACTACTTTACACACTTATCCAATATGTCCTTAGGATAATAACAAGAAGAGTATTTTCTAGATCAAACATTTTAATACAGACAAATAAGCAAATATATTTAAAATAATTTTTCAGTTCATTTTAAAAAGAAGTTTAAGAGGCCGGCAGGTGGCATGGTGGTTAAGTGCACTGGATGGCCAACCGCGGGTCTAATCCTGGACCTGGTGGCTTGCTTTCTCATTTTGCCTCTTTCTCTTTCATTGTATCTCTCTCTGTTAAAACTGAAATAAATAAAGTTAAAATAATTCTTAGAAAAAATAAGTTTAAATTAATACATGCATAAACACTATAAGTCCATGTAAATTTAGTACTATTAATGGTGAAAGAATCTGACAAGATTTAAATTAGCTAACTATATGTATACAAATACCTACTCAAGAAATTTTATGTGATTTCCTTTAAGAGTTACTTTTAGTAGAAATTAGGACATTAAGGAGCATTTTCGGTAAGGGACTAAATCAAAAAAAAAAAAAAAAAAAGAAAAGAAAGAAATTCCAAAAGCCTATTTCTTTACTAGTACCTATAATATCTAAGAGATGCAGCATTCGTGCCTCAGGGTAATGATCATGTTCTGTTTGTCTCCACACGTCATCTACAACATCCCGAGTAGTCTCCACCAAGTCCACGACTTCCAGTAAGGACAGACTGTCCAAGTTATAAAACTCCTACAAACAAAATGCATTAATTTTTAAACAAAATCATATTTATACCATGGTTAATATAATATTCCCAGGCTTTTTCAGATGTACAACTTTACTATTTGCCATGTTTTTTAAACTCCCTTTTTTTCTTTACCAGATGATAATTACTTTTCATGTCAATACCCAAAATTACTCTATAAACACATACTTCATGAAAGTCAGAAGCCAAGCCAGCCCCAGCACAGTGGTTAAGCACTGTCCATCAGCAGCCAGATGCTACATGATCAACTGCAATCTGAACACAAGCTCTGGCAGCTTAAAAAAAATGCCAAATTCCTGATGAGAAGGAGAAATGGAAAAAAGATATAACAATATGACCACACCCCGCTGGGGAGGAGAGTCCTTTCTCTCTCACCATCTTTTCCTCTCTCCAGTAAGCGCGCATATCCTCTGACAACAATAAAGAATTGTAAAAAGTCCATTCGTGGGACTAGCAGATGGCATAATGGTTATGTTACTGGACTCCCATGTAGTAGATTGCAGTTTGAGTCCTGGATCCAGTGGCTTAAACTCATGCCGGGTGTGTGTGCATGCATGTCCAAGATCCAGAGAGAAGAATGGAGAAGGGACTGTGGTGTGGCCATCTTCCCTGGGGGGGATGATTTCTCCCTTTCTGTCTCTCTGTCTCTCTCTGTCTTTCTGGCACGTGCACGTGCCCTATAGCAATAAACCTCTCCAAAAAAGACGGGCCCTAAAGAAAAAAACCCCCCCAAAAAAAAAAAAAAAAAAAAAAAAAGTCTATTCGTTTATTTACTCACTTGGCCTAACTTTTTTTATTTGAATTCATTTCTTTTATTTACCAACAGTTTACCTTAACTGCACATGTAAACTATGCATTGTAGCTCACATGGTTTATTCATTTTGTTGTATAATATTAAGGTTAAAAATAGTACAACTCTAGTATAAGGGTTATCATTTTATATTTCATCATAGATAAAAAATAAATATTTAATGAGTCAGGGAGTAGCTCAACAGCAATACAACTGGACTCAATGGCAAGGTCCCTGGTTCATATCCTGGGGATTCTCTCTACCTGCAAGGTGTCTGCATGTGCCTATGATGTGAGCTGGCTGAAGCTGGAGATGGACTGTAGTATGAAGACTCTGTTGAGCTCATACAGAGAATGTTGGGCCCACCCTCTCTGTGGCTCTCTGTCATAAAACAAAAAAAAAATAATCTTTTTAAAAGAGCTTTAAAAGGTTCAACAGGTTGAGTAGTGGTTAAGGCAGTGGATTCCCACATGGTCAACCACAGTTCAAGTCTCAGACATAGTGGCTTGAAAATCACACCACACACATGTACATTAGTGCCCAAAAACCAAGGAGGAGATTAGAGGAAAAGGGACTATAGTGTGGGGCCATCACCATTAAGGGGGCGATTTCTTACTTTTCTTCTCTCTCTCTCTCTCTCCATGTCTCTCCAGAAAATGCATGTGCCCTACAGTCAAAACTTAAAAAAAAAAAAACTTAAAGCCACTCCAAACACTTCATTAAAATAATATGATTGAATTAACAATGAAAGCATGTAGAAAATTACTCTTTCTCCATCATTTTATATATATATATATGTGTGTGTAAATATACGTAAGTATATATATGAGTGTGTGTGTATATACATACATATATATGATAGTTATGAACAGATTTATATGGAGATGTATAATATATATATATATATCCCCGAATATCTATCTGAGATTAGAGCATGCATGAGAGAGAGTGAGAAAGAAGCATCTTTCACAGGGCATGGTCATCTCTCAGCCCCCTTTCTCCAGTCCTCCAGCGTGTCAGCATTCTGGACACAGGCAGACACACCTAATATTTCCAGGCCAACCAGGCCAGGGACTCAAACTGTGGTTGGCACCTGTCTTCTATAGTCTAATATACTACCAACTACAACTATGTCACAGAGGCTAAGCCAAAAATTACTGCATTTTTCGACTTTTCTAATCATACTTAAAATGGTCATGTATTTCATCTCTGTGTAGATACATCAAGAATACATCAACCAGGAACCAGAAGTTAGCGTAATGGTTATGTCGCTGGACTCCCACATAGTCAACCGCGGTTCGCGTCCCGGACCCGGTGGCTTAAAACTCACGTCAGGCACATGTGCATGCGTGCCCAAGATCCCGAGAGGAGAATAGAGGAGAAGGGATTGCGGCATGGCCATCCCCCCTGGGGGGTGATTTCTCGCTTTCTGTCTCTCTGTCTCTCTCTGTCTGTCTGGCGAGTGCACACGCCCTATAGCAAAAATATCTCCAAAAAATAAAAAAGAAAAAAGAATACATCAACCAAGCATTAAATTCTAAGATTTTCATATTTCAGATATCAAAATGCTAATTTAAATAAAGTGAACATTCTTTCAAAAGAACATATTACCTGAACACAGATGAACTTATGTTAGAACCTTAGAGTTTTGTTTTTATTATGTACTTGCAGAAAAGGAATTTTGTTTTTGAGAAAAATATTCACTAGAGATTAGAATTTAATTTTTTTTAATTTCTTAATGTCTAAGTTGTATTCATTTTAAATACAGATCTTAAGTATATTTTGCTACATATGAAAGATGTATTTTGCTCACAATCATTATACAGATTTTCTTGAGAGAAAAATGTTTGCTATAGGGTGCATGCACTCACTAGAGAGACAGAAACAGGGACAGAAAATGATAAATCATCCCTTGAGGAGATGACCACACAGCAATCCCTTGTCCTCCAGTCTCCTCTTGGGTTTTTGGGCATGCACACACATACACACCCAACATGAATTTTAAGCCGTCAGGTCAGGGACTCAAACCACAGTTGACAATGTGGGAATCCAATGATGTAATCATTATGTCATCTGCTAGTTCCCATTAAATAGATTTTTAAACAGAAGAGGTCTAGCATATAGGATGTGGTTAAGGTGATTAGATCCCACATGGTCAGCTGCACAGTTCAAATCCCAAACCTGGCAGTTTGAGAAACACACCAGGCATGTGTACGTTCATGTCTGAAATCCCAACAGAAGAGAGAGAATGCAGAAGGAATTGGTGCGTGACTCTTCCCCATGAGGCAGGGGTGAGGGGTAATCATCATTTTCTTTCTCTCTCTTTCTTCCTGTCTCTGTCTCTCTTCTCCAGTGAGCACATGTACCCTCTGGCATTACCATTTTTTTAAAAGGAAAATATAGTGAAAATTAAATTCTAAAGCACTTTTTGTTTGAAGAGATGTTTTCTATAGGGCATGTAAGCTCACCAGAGAGACAGAGACTGAAAGCCAGAAATCATCCCCTAGGGGAATGGCCACACCACAATCCCTTCTCCTCCATTCTTCCCTAGGGATTTTGGGCACCTAAGCATATACACCCGTATGAGTTTCAAGTCTCCAGGTCTGGGACTCAATTGGTGGTTGGCCATGTGGGAGTCCAGCAGTGTAACCATTATGCCATCTGTTTATCCCCCTTTAGCACTGTTAAAAGAAGGCTGATATATAACTATGTACAAATCACATACTCTTGCTATTCTTTCAAATAATTCTTTAAAACAACTGGCTCTTTCTCTACTAATCTGCTTATTTCCACGATGAGCTTGTTCTATCCAAAACTGGAACTCATCACTTGGTGTAAGAATACCTGTTAAAAATGAAGACAGAAAAAAAAATTATTATCAATGGAAAATGAAAAGCCAAAAAGATACCTACCAGAAAGATAGCCAGTTCATTTACTATTCTGTTATGTCTATAAACTCACATATATCCTATACTATTAAAGATATATAGAAAATTAGTTTTGCAACTTCTATCAACAGCAATTTTTTTTGTTAAATCCACTAGAAACACTATTTATTGCACATTTATACTTCACATCAAGTTTTTTATTCAGTGTTACTTTTGTAAACCATTTATACCTACACAGTCATTTCTGTATCAGGTATTATAATTTAATTAATAAATGTTATAAATTTAGAAGATATAAATAGGCATGGTGGTGCCCACCCTATGGTAAACATATAAACAAATTAAAACAGTTTAATTTTTAAATTTGCTTGTAAATATCCCAATAACATGCACAATCTCTAGTTGCCTAAACACATGCTGAAATACACACACGATTCTCTGAGTCTATAAGCTTCCAAAAACCTAGTTTATTACTTAAGCAAAACAGAGGATCATATCTCCAATGTTCTAAAATAACTATTTATATAAATCATACACTTTACATTGATTAAATGAATGGTAATTTACCTATAACCACAATAAAATTATAATTAGCTTCAGATAAAATACATCTTAAAATAGGGGGCCGGCAGGTGGCATGATGGTTAAGGGCACTGGACTCCTAGATGGCCGACTGCGGTTTGAGTCTCGGACCTGGTAGCTTGCTTTCTCACTTTCTCTCTCTCTCTCTCTCTCACACTCTATCCCTCTCTGATCAAATTTAAAGAAATAAACAAACAGGCACCGAACTCCCACATGGCCAACTATGGCTAGAGCCCCAGACCCAGCAACTTAAAAAATCACACTGGGCATGTATGTATATGTGCCCAGAATCCCAGGAGGAGAATGGAGAAGGGATTGTGGTGTGGCCATCCTCCCTGGGGAGTGATTTCTAACTTTCCCTTTCTGTGTTTCTCTCCAATGAGTGCACTATGGCAAAAACCTTACAAAAACAAAAACAAAACAGATTAGAGGGCCACCACTATAGGTGTTCGGGATGCTGGACTCCCACATGGCCAAGTGAAGTTCAAGTATCAGGCCTGGTGGCCTGAAAATCATGCCAGGCACGTGTGCATGTTGCTACAATCCTGAGAGAATGAAGAAGAAGGGATTGTGGTGTGCCCAGCAACTTCAAAATCATGCCAGGCACATATGTTGTGTGCCCAGAATCCCAGGAGGAGAAGGGTTTGCAGCATGGCCATACCCTTCGGAGACGATTTCTCACTTTCCCTTTCTCTGTCTCTCTGTCTCTCTCTCTAGCAAGCACACGTGCTGTATGGCCAAAAAAAAGAAAAAAAAGAAAGAAAAGAAAAGAAAAAAACCTTTATAAAAAAGATTATGCTTTCCAGGCCAGCCAGGGGCATGGTGGTTATGACAGTTGGATCCCACATGGCTGACTGAGCAATTCAAATATCAGACCCACCGGCTTGAAAAACATACTGGGCACATGTGCATGTGTAAAATATGGAAAAGATAATGGAGAGAAGAAAAGAGTGTGGCATGGCCATCCTCCCCCCAAGGGTAGTGTTTTCTCACTCTCTCCCTCTCCATTGATGCACGTGCCCTATAGCAAAAATAAGAGGAACCAAACAAAAAAAAATATTACACTTGCTTCTTCTCCAAATTCACATAAATTTATTCCTTTAAAAAAAGGTAACTCAGCCTCTTTGGCGAGGGCAGTAGCATATCAATCTGCAGTGCTGGAAGCCACATGGTTAACCATGGGTTAGAATTCTGAGTCAACATGAAACAGTCCAGGTAAATGTACAGCTATGATCCAACTAGCAGGAGGACTCGAGACAGGATCAAAAAGGCCCTATCAAGGATGCCTGTCTCTGTCTTTGCCATGTACATAATTCACTTATTTGGTGCTTGCTCTCTCATGAAAAAAATAAACTTAAAAATAAAGAGATAAATAAAATTTATGCTCACAGAAGTTCCAAAACCATAGAAATACATCTGTGAAAAAATATGTTTATTTCTTAATGTATTAATAAAACATTCAGTGCATTCTTTGGTTAAGTTATGGTGATATACCTCGTGTATCATCTTCTTTATATTTCAATTTTGATAGATTAGTGTCTGATCTTCGTAGAACTATACCTAACCCAGCTTCTAGTTCACTCAAAAGATTCTGAAGTTTGGGATCAAAGTTTCTGCTCCATTCCTGATCCTAAATGAAAACAGACATATTGGCTTCTTAAAACACTGCCTACAAAACTTAAGGTTAACTACCATGATTTTATTTAAAGCCTACCAATACTTCCATTTCTTAAGGGGGGATAAGAAGCCCTCTCAACAGTTAAAACTTTATAAAGATCATTGACTATACAAAGATAACAGCTGATGTTGATTACATTTTATATCTTTCTCCAATTTCACTGTTTGTCAAAAAAGCTTACTTTAAGATAAAAGGCTACAATATTTTAATTTAAAAATGAAAATACTAATGCCATTAACAGTAAATAATAAATATTTATATTTATAAAAACATTTATCCAAATAACTAGCCTTTTTAAATGACAATATTGCTAATTTACTCACCTTTAATAGCACTGGTGCAAATACTTGCCTCACAGCTTGGTAAAGGGAATTAATAGGTGACTCTACCATGGATGAGACAAGGATGTTATTATGCAGATTCTCATCAGTAATTACTTCAGGTCTCAGCTTGAAAAACACCAACACTTTATCTTTTGTGTCACCAAAATCAATCTAAAGTGATAGACAAATGATTTTAATGTTATCGTCATAAAATCTAATATTTGGAAAAAATGCTTCTCTAAAATATTCTATCACTGTAATTATATTCCTTGAAAAAAGTAATTGATTTAGATATACTAAAACCACTCTATCTCTACTCCTTCAGAATATCTGGCTTTAGGGCCAGCCTATAGCCTAATGGTTAAGGGAGCTGAATCCCACAAGGCTGGTGGCAAATCCCAGCCCCACTGGCTTGAATAATATGCCAGGCCTGTGTGCGTACATGTCCACAATTCCAACAGAATGGAGGAATGGAAGAGAAGAGATCATGGTGTGACCACATTCCATTACGAGATGCTTTCTCTCTCTCTGGAGAGGACATGTGTCCTCTAACAACTCAAAAAAGGAGAAAAGAAAAAAAGGAGTATCTGGTTTGAAAAACACATCCATATTTACAGGAATACGTACATAAGGGATTATATCATAAGTGATTTAGAAACATAAAACACCATATCCTGCTGACAAACACAGCTAAACATCTCAATCCACAGAGTCAGTAGTACCACAGATCAAAGCTATATGCTTCAGGTACATGATGAGAAGTAGTATACTTCCCGCCTATCCCAAAGTCTGTAACAACGATGTTCATTTCTCTCATACCTGGAAAAAGCACTTAGTTTAGAAAGACACTTTATAAATTATATATACATTCAAAACCAACAAAATAAACTTAAGTTGCCTATCTTCTAAAATTATCTTTAACCAAAAATTTTTCCTTAAAGTGTTTGAGCATTAAAGTTTATTATCACACAGGTAGACTATTTAAAATTGGAACCAGATGAACTTATCTGGAATTCACTAAATCTTGTTTAAAATAGGTCGGTTCATAGTAATTAGTTCATTAACTGAAAAGTATACTGAATAGTATTCAAAAAGTATACTGAATAATATTCAAAAAAAGTTTCTGTGTAATATGCACACTTCAAAGATATTATTGCTTCTTTTTCCAGGAAGAGAAGTCTATGTATTAAAAAAGATTCCTAAGTTACTGCTGTGCATGAAGAACACCTTATAAACGAGTGAGTTACACATGCTACTTTCCTTTTAGTCTAATCATTACATTTTTTAAGCCACTGGAAAGAAGCTGACAGTTTATTCTGTACTGCCGCATTTCTCAAACTCTCAAAATATTTCATGACACATGAAAATTATATGAAAAAAGTATCAATGCCCATAAATAAAATTTTATTACACACAGCTATACTCACTCATTTAAATGGGTGCTTTTACACTATAATGGCTGAGTGGTAGTTATGAGGAAGACCTTACAGTCTACAAAGCTTAAAATGTTATCTGGCCCGTTATTGAAAAAGTTAGCCTAGACCTGTCCTAAAGCTTAAATCAGATCACATCTTCCTCTTTTGCTTAAGATTACCAATGACGGGACCAGCAGTTGGTGTAATGGCTATGTCTCTGGATTCCCACGTAGTCAACCACGGTCCGAGTACCAGACCCAGTGGCTTAAAAAACTCGCAGCAGGTGCATGTGTGTGCATGCCCAATATCCTGAGAGGAGAATAGAGAAGGGATTGCAGAGTGGCCATCCCCCCCCCGGGGGGGGGGGGGGGTTTTCTCGTT